ATTTAAATCGTAGGTTTGTTGTGTTGCTCAAACACCGGTTAGCTCAAACCTCGGGTTAAACAGCGGGTTAAATTTAACCTTGCTAGCTAGGTGGTTAAGTAACTAGCCTTAGGTTGTATTAGATAAAGATGGAAATTTGTTATGATCAGGGTTGTAATGACATCGAAGTTGCCATAAGAACAAAACGACGCCATTACCTATTTTACTTGCAACAACATTTCTCGGCACTGGGATCTGTTCTTCCAAAATCGTTCACTGAGGCTTTTTTCGTGAAATTTAAGCGGAATCTGTAAGAGCGTTATCGCGATATTTTGGGATAAAGTTTTTATGGTAAGAAATACGGTAAAAAATGGACAGTCTTAATGTTCGGCTGTTACCTGTAGAAAACGAAGGGTTTTTGACATGCAATTTCACCTCATTAGTAGTTTCAATCGTTTTAAAAACGTGTGTGGAAGTCCATTGAGATAGCTCCAACCGATTGCTAGAAAGTTAGGATTTGATTATTATGTATCGATGCGCTCTTGTTAGCGGTTTTGTAAGCATTTCGTCTACTCAGTTACCATATTAGCCAACAATTTTTAAACTGCTTTATAAGCTTTTATAGATTTTTTTTACAAAAACTTTAGATTCTTCAGAGATTATATAACGGTCATTTTAAATGACCTTTTAGTTTCAAGATTAGTGATATATTGTAACGCAGCAGTAAAATAAGGGGTATAATTCGCTAATATTTTTTCAGAAAATTTGTCTTTACAAATGAGAGCCTCTCATTATTCAGGGGTATCGTCTCCAAGATTCATCTTTTCGTGCACAACAATAGCTAGCATTTTTTGTATATTTCAACTGCATTGTTAGTTACTACTTTTCACGTGAACATGAAACTTGAAGACAATACCTTGAATAATGAGAGGCTCGTAAAGACGAAACGTCCAATAAAAAATTGGCGATGGAACGAACAACTGAGAGCTCGCTACAGATTTTTAAGATGGTCAATCCTCCTCCAGTCATTTTTGTTTCTTTTCGAACGTTTGTGAATTTGATAAACTTTGCACCTGAAGTGAAGATTCTTTTACTTCCCTCGGACTTCACCACTTATCTCTTCTCCACTCCTACAGTGTTGTATCACTGTTATAATTGGTATCCAATTTTTTTGCCTTTGGTTTGTCACACTTTTTGTCAACTTACTTTGCGAAACGTGGAAGTTTTATTCCATGTTCTCGGTTAAAATAGCAACTGAGGCGCTGAAATTATTCTTTTCTGGGATCCTCCACTTACGCAGTTTTAGGACGTAAACAAACCAGTAGGTATTAACTGCGAAGTAGTCGCGATAAACGCGAGGTTAACTAACCGGTCCTCTCTGACCACGCTTCGAACCCCGCAATTTTGACCCCAAGTTAACAAACCTGCGGTTAAGAAATTTAACCTCCAGTTAGGCCTAACCCGAGGTTAATGTAACCCGTCTTTCGAACAACCCTGCCCAGATGAAACACCTTGAAGTTTATTTTTATTTTATTTTATTAGCTTCGCCTGTTACTGAAACAATGAATAATAAATGCTCTTTAATTAAGCAGAGGTGCCACAACAGCGGTGAGCCAATTACAGTGGTCCCAGAGCTGAACGTTAAGAATACTCCGGTGCGTTTCGTATTTTCAACTCTCTTCTCAGTGTTTCTTCTAATGATGAAACACTGCGTCTCATATTGATTATTAGTAAAATTCAACTAGTAGTCTATTATCAATGCTTCGTTCTGAGTTGTTGAGCTTCTACTAGGCTACATGTTATAGCCCACAAGTAGCGAAACGCGCCGGCTTTGAAAACCAAAACAATGGCTGCTGAATCGCGTTTTACTAGCTACAGTTGTTTTGTCTCGATATTTTTGACCAACTAGTTGGATTTTAGCGGAGCTCTGGCACGCGAAGCGCGCCTGCGGAACACCATGGGCAAGTAAATCGACCCATCTCAGAACATTTGGTAATCACTTGACCGTACACCGCCCGTCCGTCCGTCCGCACCACAGGGCAACCAATGTTCACTCTCATACTTTCTAGCTAGTTTGGGAGCATAGGAAGACTGATATTGCACACATATTGCACATCAATGTTGTGATCAATTGACAGCTGTCAAAACAGGGTATCCGCTGACAAGTATCACCTGACCGTATCGGGGGCTCAGGTGTCGACCCATCGGGGTCGAGTATCTCTATGAAGTTACCCGCTTACAAGTTACTAGTTTTCAAATGATTGCAGGCTTAAGTTCCATTTTTTTTTATTCATATGAAATATGTTGTGTTTTATATATGCCGCACAATTAAAATTGTGATTTCAAACTGACCTCGGAAGCTAAAATTCAGCCAGTTTTTACAGGCAGGGAATACATGCCAGTTGCTTTCGACATTTCTCACCAAGGTCACGCGTTGGTCACGCTCTACGTCCAATTTTTATACTCTGATTGGTCTAAATTTGACAGGTGAGTTCATGCGGAAACTTTATGCAGCATCTTGAAACTTGTTTACTTTGACAGCTGAAGCTGACAGAGTTTTGTCTCAACTTGTGATGTTTTTAACTGTCTTTTTCCACTGAATGTACAAGGTGAAATTCAGCTGCTATCAAGAGTCTTCTGTTATTCATGGCTAGTTTGTTTATTGGGTTTTTGGTTGAGAAATACGTCGCTTTGGCAAAGTCGGGAAAAAGATTTCGGGTGGCATCGTTTTTGTTTTTCACCTTGCTTGATGGGTAAGACGGTTGAAAAGTCTCAAGCGATTCTGGTCTTACTTGATAGTCTTCAGTGCATCTCGAATGGTAAGCCTGAGTAATTATTGTATTTGAAGTTTGTTTTTTGTATCTAATTTAATGAAGTCGAGCTTAGTTTATGCGGCTATTTGGTTTATGCACGTTTGTAAGATTTGAGACAATGATCTGACGGAGTATCAGGTTTGATTATTAGAACTTTAAAAAGCCTTTAGACATTTTCTCACCGCAAAGAGAAAGAAAACGTTCCAAAGAATAGTTAGTTATAGTTCTGGCTGTAAAAGAAAGCTTTGAGCGATTTTCTTGCCTCGAGTTCATCTTTGAAAAAAGCAAACACCGGGAAGCCAGCTTAAAACATAAACAAGGATTTTCACAGACACTTTAGTACTTGTCTTCCTGAATGAAAATTGTTGTCTCTGTATATGTTTCACCGAATTATTTTCCTTTTATTGATTGTTAGTAGTTTTTGCAATTTTAATCGCTGTGCCGTTTGTTTTCAGTCGCTCATGAACATCGCTTGCAGGAGTAGTCAAAATGCCGCGCATATCAAATTCTTTTGAAGATTACACATCGTTATAAAACCATTGAATAAAGAATAAACATAATAAATTCTCTATTATGTTGAAGCATATAACTCTATTAATCTTAATTTAAACATTCGACTTTGGCACGTGTTAAAAGTGGGAACCGGCTAGCCGTATAGGTGATTTTGGAAATTTTTTTAACGGTTTCGCTAAAAGCCCACGCGTGCTTCGATCGACCTGAATATTGAATGAGTGCAATTTGTATTGCAAAATTGTGAAATACTGCATTCTGTCCGAGGTCTGTATGATAAAAACAGCGCCTTATGGTACTGTTTCACCTCAGATGTGATGTATAAAAAGTACAAAAGGTTGGTTTACACGTCCCCAGACTTGCTGGCAAGATTTTGTAAAGTAAACTTCTCGAAGGCAAAAAATTCGGCCTGATTTGTTTTCCAGGCCTAATCTACTGTGATCAAGAGCCATTATGGCTCTTAAATGTGATCGAAGATGATTGCTATTTTTTGGGTGTACATGTAAAAGGGGCACCCAACGAGAATATAGTTCAAAACCACTTAAACGTAGCATTGCGTTGAACGTATCTTAGTATTTCAACGGTATATATAGGCACATTTTTATGCCCTAAAAATTTTTCATCTGTTTGGATTTTCTAGCTGAAAGTCTAGTGATCCGAAAATTACAGGGATCAAAACTTACCTTTTCGAAAATTTCAGCCAGAAAAAAGGCTCTCGAAAACTCTAGGTGATCTTTTTAGGGTAAAAATCCGTTAAAAATGGGCAGTTATACCATTTTTTAGATGAGGAGAGGCAGGCAAGCAAGAAATTTTACAACAAATGTTCAGAAAATTCTAGATCTCAAATCGTCTTCCGAAGTAGTTATATAATGATGCCATGGTACTCACTCACTTGGTACTTTTTCCCTGTCATTATTCAATTATTTCCGTCATCCCACCCAAAATTTCAATGACGGAATTTAGACTAACAAATTTTTGTACTTTTTTTAATTAATTTCTGAGTTTATCCTCTGTCATTGTTCAATTAATTTGTGTCTTACGTCTTGTACTTTTTTCTGGTTATTTTCTATCATTGACTTTTTTTTCTGATCATTTGCGTCATTACTCGATTAAGCACTGTTATCAACTATTTTCTGGTAAAAGCTGTTATCTAAAATTGAATCAGAAAAATAAAATGGCTTAAAGAAATTAATATAATCATAAAACACAATGATCATCAAGGTTATTCCAAATTACGCAAAGAACATTAAGAAGGAATTTATTTTTATAATAGATATTAATAAGAAATGTGAAAATTTATTAAACAAAATAGACGAAGAAAATGTGTTTAATTCCCCACAATCTAAAAAGCTTATTATTTATTTTAATAAATTTTTAATTGTTCAAGAACTTGGTCATTTTAAGGATATTAGTAATTATTATTTTGAAAATGAAGATGTTAATTTATAGTGTATTTAGAAAGAAAATTAGAAGAAAATATGGATTTATTTTTTAATCCAGATAGTTTAAAGTTTGAAGAAGAAAAGTATGAGAATGATGAAACAGGTTTCAAATTATTTTTTGAAAGTTTTGAAAAATTTAAGGATAAAATAAAAATAGAAGAAAATATTTGTATTATTTTTAGTGATAGTGATAGTGATAGTGATTAATCTTATAACAATTTTTGTTATAAGATTTTAGTATAATTAATATATTAAAATGGAAGAGATAATAAAGTTTTTAGAAGATGAAGGTTTTGAATTTGAGGTTGGATGTAGAGAGAAAGAAAGAAAAAAAATATGAGTGAAGCAATGAAAAAATTAAAAGAGAGTAATGATGAGAAAAAGATTGAATTAGCAGAAAAATTAGCTAGACATTATGAAATTTATGATCTCATTGAAAAATTACCAACAAAACCTGATTATGGGTCATATTATCTTTCCTCTTATTTAGAGGGTATTCTTGTTACAGCTAAGAGGGGTATTGCTGGTGTTATTATTGCTCTTGGAAATGACGAGGAATTAGATCCTTTTACTAAATATCTTATGTTTACTCATATGTATACCCCGGAGCAAGTAAAAGAAATAGGTCATGAAGAAATATATAGAAGGCAACAAAAGTTTAAAGAAGATGAATTACCACCTGATGTTAGTTACCATGAAGATGATGGTACTAATGGAAAAGATTACGAAATTTCTGGTTTTGGTTGGGAGGAAGATGGAAGAGGTCATATTACTGTTTCTGAGAAACATGAAAACGAGAATGATATTTTTGAAGAAGTAAATATTCCTGTTCCTTTAATTTTAGATGAGGATTGGTTAAGAAAAAATAAGGGAATATAATGGGGGATTTTCCCAACAAGAATAATTTAATATAAACATAATAATAAAATGGAATATAAAGGTTCTAAAGATGAGATTGATTGGGAAGAGTTTCAAAGAAAAAAAATTATGAGAGAAGCAATTAAAAAATTAAAAGAGATTGACAATGAGAAAGAAAGAAAGAAAATTATTAGTAAATCAATCAAAAAATTAAAAGAGAGTAAAGATTATGAAAAGTTTAATATAGCAAGAACATTTGCTTGGTATTATGCTAATTTTGATAATATGGGAGAAATAGTATATCCAGAAATTCCTATAGAAATAGATAATTATAAATCTAATTATCTTTGTAACTATTTAGAGAATTTTATTGATACAGCTAAGATAATTATTACTGTCGTTATTAAAGCTCTTGGAGATGATAAGACAGTAGATCCTTTTTGTGAAGAACTTATGTTTACTCATTTTTATACCCCAGAGGAAATTAAAAGAAATAAAAAATGGAAAAATTTTGAAGAAGATAAATTAATTACTACTGAGGATTTTTTATAAAAGAAATAGTCTAAACAAATAATAAAAAAAATGGAAACAAGATCAAGAGAAACTACTCCTACAAAGGATGATTTGGATTTTATAGTTGATGATGGTTATAGACATGATGTGGACCCAGTTTATGACCCTAACGATAAGTATCTTGTAAGTGGAAAAGTGTTTAAAAAGTTAACACAAAATGCTAAAAAACTTGGTGCTGAATCGCTTGATTATTCAAAACGAAAAAATAACAAATACATGGTTACACTTCCAAGTGGAAAAAAAGTTCATTTTGGATCGACAAAATATGCGGATTATCTTACTCACAAAGACAAAGATAGAAGAGATAAATATCTTTTTAGAGCTACAAAGATTAAAAACAAACAAGGAGAATTAACTTATACTAATCCTGAATCAGCTAACTTCTGGTCCGTTAATTTACTTTGGCCTAAAAAAATTTAAAAGAATAAAAATATATATAATAATAAAATGAGTTTAAATGGTAATGTTAGTTTAACTAGTTCATCTAATGATATTGATCCAGCTTGTAAATATTATGTTAATGATAACGATTATGATAATTTTAAGAAAGAACTTATAAAAGTTTTAGAAGAAGGATTAAAAGAAATTTCAGGAAGATTATTTTCTATAGAAGTCAAAATTGAAAATGGGTTTAAGAATTAAAAGATTTTTTAAAAATGAACCGCAAAAAAATTTTAAATGGTGGAAAGAAGTTCTATATTCATACTATTTTTAGTAATTATGCCGCTTCAAAGGACGGTGAAATTTTAAATGTAACAACTGGAAGAATTTAAAAAAAAAAATGAATAATAATGGATACTATCATTTTAGAGTCAATGATAAAAAATTGATTAAACCAAAGAATTACCTTATACACAGGTTTGAATGGGAATGTGTTAAAGGTGTTATTCCAGAAGGATTTGTCATTGACCATTTTGATTCAGTTAAAACAAATAATAAAATGGAAAATTTACAATTACTAACTGACTCAGAAAATATTAGAAAAGGAAATAGTAAACCTATTGTATCATTTAAAATCAAAAATAACAAACAAAAAAATTATGAAAGTATTACTTCTGCTTCACTCGAATTAGATATTTCCTTTTCAATTATTTCTAATATTTGTAGAAAAGTAAAGTATTACAAAACAGTGATTTCCAAAAAAGATGGGGATAGATACACATTTGAATTTTTAGAAAAAAATATTTAAAGATTAAATTTTTATAATCAAAATGCAGTTGTCAAGCTACGAAAATCTTACCCAAGACAATATTATCTTTAAAGAAGCCAAAGAATTTAAAGTCAAAGATAGCAAAATTAAATACAAACGTATCCCAATTGAAATCAAATATTCGAATGGAAAGAAAGGACCGCTTGTAATCGAAACCCCTTTTCTTTTTAGCTTTGGTGTTAGTGAAAAGAAAAATCAAGAAACAAAAAAGTTAGTAGGCTATAGTATCCCAGTATGTCTTTGGGCTAAAGATAGCGAACCAAATGTCAAAGAAAAAGCATTTTTTGAATTTATTAATAACTTAACATCTCTTTCTCAAAAATATTTAGAGAATGAATATGGACCAGATTTAGCTTCGTCTCTTACTTCACTGTTATATTACAAACAGGAAGAATACACTGATAAAAAAGGAAAGAAGAAAACAAGAAATGACCCCTCATCTGCTTCGGTTTTTTATGCGAAACTTGTTTACTCAGAAAAATCAAAGAAAATTTTATCTTTGTTTAAGGGAAAGGGAGGTAAAGATTTAAATCCTTTTAAATATATCAATCAGTACTGTAATGTTAAATTGGCTCTGATAATTGAAGGAATCTTCATAAGTAAAACTGTGACATCTTTACAAATAAAAGTTCATGAGTGTTATGTCAAACAACTCAAACCTAGAGAGTTTTTAATAACAATTGAAGAGGAAGATGAAGATATTGAAGGTGAAGAGTTAACTGATGAAGTAGTTGAAGACTTAATTTTATCTGATAAAGAAGAAAACGAGTAAAATAACTATTTTTAATACGAATTTCGTATTAAAAATCTACCAAATCCTTAGAACTAACCCATGAGTTAAATTTATCAGGATATCCGCTCCATTTTACTAATGCCATTTTTTCTTATTATCTCGTCTGATAATCTTTTCTATTCTAAATGTTTGTTGTTTTGTTTTTTGTAATTCTTGGTTGTAGAAAGAACCCTTAATTTCTTCTCCCATCAGATCAACAATTTTATACGTAACAGGTTTTGTAGGTAAAACTTTATCAATAACGAATATTTCTTCTGTCCAGTTTGGTGTGTAGCCTTTATCAAATACCTTCCTACCACTCGAAAGAGGATGCCTAATAGGCAGAGCGAGGTGCATAGGAGTGCTTGTCTAGCCTCAAGCCTAGAGAAACATAAATAAATAAATGAAAAAAAGCCCTGTAAATGGTTGGCCTATGGGTCCCTGTAAATGGCCGGCCTATGGGTAATAATAAAAAACCTTCTCAGGAGGGACTGAGGGGAATGGGGATGGGGTGATGGGAAAATGGGGGAAGTCCTCCTGAGAAGGTCTGGTGGCCACCAGTTTTGTTAATTTTTTATTTCATCACAAGAAATGGTTTAAACAAGTTAACTGTTGAACTATTTGTTGTTTTACCACTAACAATATAATAGATTTTTAACTTTTTTATTAATTCACTTATGTAGTTGAACTTTTTAATGTTACTGGTGGATATATAATTTAGATTTAAGCTCTTAGCAATAGTTTTCCTCCTTGTTGTTCTATTTCTGCCTCTCGCTCATGAAGCACCAGAGCGTAAATATTATAATCAGCGTTTGGATTAGCAGTTAATTCGTAATGAAATGCTAGTTTTGTAACTCCATCTTTTATATCTTTTTTTTGTTTTGTAAGATCAAAATAAACAAAAGGAAACAAAGACTCAAAATTTGATCTATTGAGAAGTGTTCCACCTTGAAAGTCATTATTTGCATATACGTATGACATTACATTTCTAAAAACTCTCGCTGGATCTGTAGCTGGTTTAAAGTGAATATCAGGGTATTCATTTCCATTTCCTACCTCAAGATAACAGCGAGACATATTAGCATTGTTTGGTAAATTAAAAGTGTTGTATAGGAATGGATTTGCTGTTTGTGAATCAATATTAGCTGTGTTAATTGCAAAAACAAAAACATGACGTGGTTTTGATATTGCATTTGTAATTCTGAAATGTCCTGTTTGCTGTTGAGAGTTATTTGATCGCTCTACTACTTCATTAAGATACTTCCAACTGTATGGTTTAAGATAATTTTCCATGTTCAACTTTTGTCCTTTTGAGTTATATGTTATTCTTGGAACAAATAGTTGAAATCTTGTTAGTATAACTCTACAATCATTTCCACCAGCTCGCCAGATAAGATTACCATCTGATTCTATTTCAATATTTAATTCGATTTTTGTATTTGGAAGAAGTTTGTTTTCTAATGCCTCAAAGAAAGAATATCTGTTGAGGGGAATTTCACATCGCACTGTTGCTGAGTCGCCTAGTAATGCTTTTCTCAAAGCAAAACCTTTGTTATAATTTGCAACTCGTCCTTTAACAACATTAGCTCCTCCAGTGACGTTTGTGTTATTTATAGTAAATTCTGTTCTTTCAGCATGTCTTGTTGTATCAAGATAATAAAATTCATTCGTAGCTACACTCTAAACATAGGAAGGATTATACTCAAGCAAATTTTTGATATTTACTACATGATTAGCATAGTTGCAACTATAAACATCTCTTTCATTTGCTAGAATTGTTAACTTTCGTATGAGACTGGAACTACTATTTACTATTCCCATTTGGTCTCCATCTGCGTCTATATTAGCTCCAGCAGCAAGCTGATTAACTTTTAAATCCACTGAAAATCGCGCGTTATACCAATCAAATGGAGTGGCCTCACCTGTATTATCAGCGACAAATCTATGTCCTACTTTAGTTTGGTGAGCACCATTTCCAGGTGTTGCTAAAGCCTGTTCAAGGTCAAAAACAACATCTTCATATCTATCTAAATATTCTGGATTTCTAAAGGACTTCATTTTATTTTAATAATTATATAATTCTTCCCCCGCTTAAAATAGCATTCACTCTTTGATTTATTTCTTGTTGAGTTAATTTTTTACTTGGAAATATTTCGACATTTTTATTAAAAGTAACTTTTTTAGCAGGGGGTTTTGGGAGGAACCTTTTGATAACATTTGCACTATTTTATCACCAGCCTTTTTGCCAACATGTTCACCGGTTTTTGTTGCGGCTGTTGTCACAGCTTTTTCAACTCCCTTTTTAGCGGCTTTTTTCATTGTTTTTCCAAATAATTTTGAACCAAACGATTTAAACACATCTGTTATTCCTTCACCATAAATATGTTGTCTTGTATACCTACCCAATTCAAGGTCAAGTTTTTTTTTTAAACTCAGATTGTCGCATCATTTTTATCTAATGAATATATATTTATTTAAGGGAGGGGTTATAGGGGCTGTTCACCTATTTTACATGGAGTGAAGTATTAAAGTCATAAACCAATCAATTCCATTAAAATTTACTGGTCTTCCAAGTGAGTCTGTCACATAGACTCTCATTTCATTAATGTTAAATTCTGATAAAGGGCAATACAATGGTCTTTTAGGTTCAAACGTAAATGGATAAGACCTTGTAAGATTATCAGTTGGTATCACAGCTATGGTATTTGTAATTATTCCATTTACAATACTATCAGTTATTGCGGTTGTGTTGATATTTAACACATCAATCGAATTTGTAATATTTGGTACTTTTGATCCATACTCTGTTTTTTTATGAGTTTCTTTTCAAATCCAATCAGTTCTCCAAATTCTGTTCCTCTCAGATCAAGTTGATAATCACCATCAATTGATACTAACACTCGATAGGTAGATAGTATAAAAGTTAGATTTATCGAATAAGTTTTTTTTCCACTTGAATCTGTTGAGTGATGAGACTTTTGAGTCATATATTGATGAATGTAATCATTGATATCTGAGTAGGAATACATTCCATCTGTAAAAGTAATTGTTTACCAGTTGGTTCCATCATGAGTGTATTTAATTTTATTGTTTCCATAATCACTTCTAATGTTGTACCAAGAATAAGTCATGGACAGTCGATCAAGAGCAAGTTGATGTTTCTTTTCAGGGTCGAGTTTCAAAGAAGGATTAAATTTGATAGTAAAATCACCAGGTCTACTTGTTCCTCTTTTTTCTCTGTTTATCGAAGAAATGTGAATAGCTCGTTCTTCCATTTTATCTAATGAATAGATATTTATAGTGGAACCTACGGTTCCCCTATAACCTCTCCATTAAAAGGAATTATTACTTATAGTGAAATCATGGGTTCACCTATTTTTAGTAAGTCGTTTAGTTGTTTTTTTGAGATTACTTTCATTTGGTTGAGAAGATGAGATATTTGAGAAAACTCATTTATCGCACCATTATTCCCAGCTAGAATTGATCCACCAAGTAATTCAAGTCTGTCTAGAAGTTGATGTGGGTTGTTAAAGTAAATCATTCCTTGTCCCATTTTATACTCAAGCGAACCTAAATAAAGTTCAAGAATGTTTTTGTATTTATGTAGTAAATCTTTTTGCATTTGAATAAATTCTATTTCCATTTTATCATCTTCTGTTTTTTGTTTTTTTTCTCTTCAAACCAGCTATTTGTCCTGTGGTAACTTTTACATCATTTTTTACTTCATCACGTATTTCTCTAAGTCTTTCAGGGTTAGTATCAAAAAAATCATTTGGTCTTGGGTAGCCCATATCCTTCAGTACTCCTAAATCCACATTGTCAAGATTTTTTTCAATGTTATAACGCGTAGGTGATCTTGGTTTAGATGTTGTAGGTTCAACATAATCACCTTCCAAAGCTGGTAATTCTCTCATTTCAGCCAATTTTAAATTAGTTTCATTAATTTTTTCCAATCCTGATGTTAATGCAAGTTGATTTTTTTTTAAGTTGTGCTATAGTTGCGTTTTGCTGCTCATCGATACTTTTTTTAATGCTATCTTGAGATTTAATAAGTGGTTTAAATGTCTCTTTAAATCCCTCTCTCATATCTTGTTTTTGCCATTTTGTTGCTTTTATAACATTTCTCACCTGTAGTAACAAATCATCGGCTTCTATTTTATCTCTCGCAAATTTTTTAGCTTCTTCTATATCCATTTTATCTATTAATTAAATAAAAATGGAAATTCCAAACTATGATAGTACCGATGACATTGATAAAAAATATAAACAGTTATTTCCTTTTATGCCAGCGGATACGTTTCGAATGTTAATTTGTGGAAACAGTGGAAGTGGAAAGACTAATCTGTTATACCATATGTTAATCAAACCACTGTTGCATTACGATGAGATTTATCTTTACGCACGTAATCTAGAACAGGATAAGTATCAAAAGTTAATTCAAAAAATGAGGGAGTTGAGTAGTAAAATTGGATATGAAATACTTCATGTGAGTAACGACGAAATAACCCCGGTTACAGAAATGGATTACGAAGACAATCAAAAACTTGTAATATTTGATGATTACGTCTGTGATAAAAATTACAAATTACAAATCTTAGCACTCCACTAGATGGAAAAGAACCTCCTACAAAAGATTACGTAGACAACACATTTCTTGACAGAGATGGTTCCTACCCAATGAAAGGTAATCTCAATATGGGTAATAATCGAATATTTAATCTACCAGCTCCAAATGGAGGTAATCAACCAACACCATTAGCTTTTACAGATTTGAAGTATGTTGCCCGTGATGGTTCATCTACAATGACTAATAATCTAAACATGGATAATAAAAAAATAATTAACCTTAGACCACCAGCATCAGACAATGATGTGACAAACAAAAAGTATGTGGATGACTTAATACCTGATACTAGTTCTTTTATAAATAAAGATGTAAGTATATCAATGACTAATAACCTAAATCTTGGAAACAAAAAAATAGTTGGTCTCGCAACACCAACAACAAATACAGATGCCGCAAACAAAAAGTATGTGGATGATAATGTTGGAAGTATAGATTTAAGTGATTATTTGGAAAAAGATGGCACTGTAACTATGACTGGGAACCTTAATGTTGGTAATAATAAAATAATAAATCTTAGTAAGCCAACCCAAGACAATGACGCGGTAAATAAAGATTACGCTGACAAACTAGTTCATAACACTGCAGTTCAACCAAGTCATTATAAAGATGAGTTTAGTTATCTCATGTCAAGTGGTGCTCAATGGACTGATGAAACAGATGGTAGAACTGGTTTTGTTACAAAAAGAATAGGAGATTTAGCGCCAAACAAAGGAAACTTTCATAATTATAACCACAGAGTTATTTTTATAGGTATAAACAAAAGTTCTCAAGGAGGATATAGGTATAAAATGGGAATCAACTTTTTCAGGTTAAGTGCAAATACTGAATACACACTGTGTTTGGAAATACTCAACACTGATTATCAACTATGGCATAAGACTCAAATAAGTGTAGACAAAGAAACTTCAACAGGATTATCAATTGGAAATGTTAGTGTAAGGAAACTATCTCATAGGTACACACAATCAAATGGACAGCCACAATTTATGTATTATCACAGAATAATAGTTAATTTCCGGAAGTTGTCAACTGGTAATAAGTTCTTTCTTCACATTTTGGTTAATATGCCACAAGATGGAACTGACTTGGCTGTGTATCCGAGACAGTTTCTAGGAGTTTATATAATTACTTATGGTATTGTGGGAACATTTAGCAATATCGATTCAGATAAAGTTTATGATTATCACACCGCATTTGATATCAAGCCAACACAAGTGGTTTACAATGTTGATATTAATGCAAATAATAAAAAAATATTGAACGTTAATCTTGATAGAAACAGTAACAATAGCGCAGCAACAGTTGGAATGGTAAAGGAATTAAATCCTCACACTATAAACATTCTTTATAGGGAATTTTTTGAAGAAGTTTATGATTTTACTAATGCCACTAATTACAAATTAAGTAGTACCGCATCTGGTATTGTTTTTAACTATTTATCTTCAAGTAGTGGTAATACTTTAAGAGATATGAGAATACCTGATAAAACCATAGATAATATAAGAAAAGAAGGTCTAAATGTTAGTGGTTATAATATTAGTTTTACTCCTCCTAATGGTATTACAAAATATACTTTATGTTTAATATTTTATCATTGGAGAAATAGATCATTTTTATTAGCTAAAAAAGATACAAATAGGCGAAGTACTTTATTAAACTTACGGTATTCTCCATTAGATAATAAAGTAAGATTAATTGTTAATGTACGAAGAGATACTTTTAACATTCCAAATGATTTTAATGGGAAAAAAATTGTTATATGGTTAACAGAAAATTTTAACGCAAATATTACAAAAGCTAAAATAAGTAACTACAGCGCAATATTAAGTTTACAAACCGTTCATTACTCAATCAATCAAGAGTTTGTGTTTACAACTCAAGATGGAATTTTAAGTAAAATAATGTTTTCTCCAAACTTTTACGACACTGATTCTGAGCAATATCATAAAGTATTGCTTCAAGAAAAGTTAAATGGAAGTTATGTAATTTAGATAGGTGTAACCAAGGGAGTGGTAATAATATAAACAAAAGAATAAAATGAAGGATATCTTTGAATTTAATCACATAGATAAATCTCTGTCAGAATCAGAGGTTAAAACCCTCAAAGACTTTTATAAACACTACCACAAGAAATACTGGTGTTTTAAAAAATCGTATAAAAGTTATAAATTTCTTGATGATGTTTTTACAATCTCTGGTATATGTTTGGTTGCGATAGGAACTATTTCTGGTGGAATAACCCTAAACCCTGTTGTTCTTGGAGTAGTAAATGGAGCTGGATTAATAGTGGCGGGAATAGGAAAGAAAAATAATTATAAGAGAAAAATTGAGATGACAAGGATTGCATTCTCTAATTATGAAAAAGTACTTGTTGAACTGCGGTCAGCTCTTCGGGGAGACGAGTGGAATAAACAAGATTTTGTTGATCGCATGAAGTTGATAGATGAAATGATAATCGACCAAACACCAATAGCAGATAGATTTGTTAGTAGGTAAGAAAAAAAGTTCGGACTAAGTAAACAGTGATTTTAATATCATTTTGATATTAAAATCTATCCGGTTTTGAGTGATTTATAACTAACCCACCAATTTTCATAATTATCTAAAGTTTGTGGTGAAATCTTAAGATAAACTGGTTTGCTCGCTTTTCTTGATTCACCCCCCATCTCATCCAAAAGTTTTTTAATTAAATATTCAATACTTATCATTCTCTTTCTGTTGTATTCTTTGTTTAGTATTTCCATGACGTGATTGTCTATTTCCATTAACTTACTATAAAGTTCGTTTTTTTGTTCGTTGGTTAGGTTTATTCTTTTAGAAATTTTATTAACCTTTTTTTCATAGTAATACTTACGTTGATATACGCTCTTTTTTCGATAATGCAATCTATCAAAATCTTTATTATCGTAAAAGCCTAATACATGTCCATTTGCTACTCGACATTCATCACAGATTTTATAACCATAATCAATGGTAAAAGATGTTCTGTTTTCACAATTACTACATTTAGCTTTTAAATTTGATTCATCTGAGGAATTAATACTATAATCACCCAATATTCCAAGATATTTCTTTATTTGGTCTTTTGTATATAACATTTATTTATTCATTAAATACCTATCTTATTATCTTAAAGCTAATGTTTTTACCTCTCCCAAAATAACTTTACGTTTATCATCTTCATTACTTAAAGCTACTTTGTTAACTTCTTTTGAATATATATCATGATTTTCACTTCTTATTATATTCATTTTTCTCATTTCTTTTTTACCCGAAAATAAACATTGAACATAGTCATCAAAATCTAATTTGTTTTTCACAACATTTTTCTTAATTCCTTTACACTTTCTTACCTCTTTATCCTCTTCTATTCTAAAACTGTAAAGTTTTGGTCGTAATCCAACAAAACAAGTTATTTGTTTTCCTGCTACTTCATCTTTAAACATCCCAATTACTTTTTTGTTAACTCCCGTCAATATTCCAGATTCATGATTGGGAGGATAATCAGAAGTGTCAAACTTTTTTTTTATATCACGAGATATATCTTTGTAAAAATTATCTGTGTAAATCTGGTACATAAGGCTATCAGTATCAGTAAACAATAACTCAGCTTTATTTTTGTATTTCTTTCTTATGTAATTATAATGAAAATCAAACATCAATGTTTTTGATAAATCAAGAATTGCTTGACCAACATATACTGGTTTGTCAAAATAAACTTCGGTTTTTTTCATGTGAACAGCTATAAGATTTTTATCAAATATCGTAGCCCTATCAAAGTTTGGACGACTTGTTAGTTTAGCAGCTCTCTTACGATCATCAACAAGTTCTATATTTTGTCTTTTTCGTATATTTTCTATTGTTTTTCCAAACACTGAATTATTCATAAGTTTGAAAAAGTCTTTTTCAAAACTGTTAGCTGCTGTTTTTCTAAGTTCTGTGTTCTTTCGTATATATGGTTCCATCCAAGGTCTTTGGTAAAAAGATATTCCTCTATGAACCGCAGTTATTCTCATTCCCATTTCAAGATACTGCCTTAAATTTCGATAATGAACAACATAGTTTTTTCTTGGTTTAAAATGACAAATTAGTTTTTCAACTCCATTAACAATCATCTTCTCAGGTGCTAGAGGATAGTCATTATGTTTTTCCCATAAGGATGAAGGATATTCCAAATCAACTTCAAAGATGTATCCTTTTCTTCCACGATTTGACATACTATGATTTGTTTTTTCTAAAATTTCCATTAGTGACTCTTTTGTTAGGTTTCTCATCCAATTAAATCCATGTGTTGGAAGATTTTGAGACATCGCCCAACCATAAAGATTGTTTGCATCGAGATATTGAATAAATGTGGACTCCTCATCAGGATTGTAAGATTTCATATATTTGTTATTAGCTTCTGCGTATCTTTTTGATATATGAGTAATTCCACCACAAATACCTTTTTCAATCATCATTAACATATCATAATCATGTATTAACTGTAATTCCTGCCTTGTTTCTTTGAGACAAGCATCCCAAGCTAAACCTGGAGATGTGTAATAATGCGCTGGATCTAACTTGTAATGTTTTAGACAAGTTTTTCTAAAGTTTTCAAATACATCTGACAAAAGTAGGACATCAGACTTTAGGTAAAGATCGTGATAATCTCTTAATGATTTACATTTAAAAGTATTCCACACGTTTATTGCGTGTTGGTAATCATCTTCGGTTATGTCTTCGTCATTTAGTTTCGAATAAAATTCTTCTTTTGGAGGTAATTGTTTTTCGGACAGTTTTTCAAGCGATGAAACATAATCATAAGGATAAACTCCCTTCCGAGTAAGAAGATCTACATTTTTCTTAAATTCTCGTTTTGTATCACGGAAATCATCCGGTTGTAAATTTGAAACAAGATTAGCAAGTGATGTTTGAAGAAACTTAAACGAATCTATGAAACGAATTTCAAAATATAAAGACATCATTTGACCAGTTTTTTTAGACCTGTACTCATCAACTTTAATCTTTTTAGAAAAGGATATGTATTTTTCCTCTGTTGAAGGAATACAATTTAAATCTCCTGGTAAACTTGCGAGTTGTTTTATAAACAAATGAGCATCATAACCTTGAAGATTATGAAATATAACTGGAAGAACTAAAGGTTTCCTGCAATTAAGATTACAACTGTTATGAGCAGCACCTCGGTACTGACCTGTAAAATGACAATGATCTCTAACTTTATCTTCCAATAATTCTTTGTTACAAATATGACAAAATTCAGCTTTGTTAAATAATTTTTGTTCGTCTTTGGATAGTATAAGAGGTTTTGGTTTACGATAAAAATCATTATAAATACCTCTTGTTGCTTCTGTTAGTTTTTCTACGAATATTTTTGCTATATCTTCATCTTCTTCTGTTTTCGAATAAACAATTGGTTTGATTTTTTTATCAACCACACCTTTAATAAAAATACAAAATCCTGATGGTTCATGTTTTTGGTAATTGTAATTATAAGAATCTTCTGGATTAGGACAGCAAGTATTCATTGGTTTGGTAAAACACTCAAAATCCGCATAAGCTACAAAAGGAATAGGAAGTTGTTTGTGATGATTTTTGAAATGTAAAATCGATCCTGATTTTGGCATTTTCACAGAAACTGTCTCGTTATTCGAACAATATAAAATATGTTTTTGTAATAATTCTTCTTTTGTAAAATGAGTAAAACATCTCTTACAAATATGAATTGGCTCATTTGTTCTATAAGTGATTTGTGACCGAAAAAGACGAGAAAAGTTTTTAATCAGAGAATAATGATATTTTCCATTCTCTTCATAAAGAAATAAATCTATTTATTTTTGAGGGTCACGTAACGCCATCCGGAGGGGATAAAACTTATTGTCGTGAGTAACTGAAAATACATTTATACCTGGTAAATCTGGATTAATAGTTTCAAATTTGGTAATGTCTCTGATTTTAACTGGGAAAGTAAATCCCTTAGGAATATTAAGCTCATGCTCATATTGTTCTAAATCTTTCAAACGACAATCATTCTTTTCTCTTGGATGAAGATAACGAAGTATAGACCACAAAAAACATTTAGATGATGTTTATCATCGATTTCCTCTCTTTCCATTATACAAACCAAAACAAACTTTACTTTGATATTTCGATGATTTCTAAGAAAATCTTTAAGAATAGTTATTTTATTTCCAAAAAACTCTAAGGGAGTAATACCAGGTTCTCCCTTTATTATATGTTTTTTAGCAAATTCATCTAAAGCTGATTTTTCTTTTACAACTCCTTGATTATGCTCCTTAATAGCTCTCTCAAGAGCCTCATGAAAATAAGGAGGGGTATCTTCTGGGATTTCTTTATTTTTAATACATTCTTGAAAATACTCATCAAATGATTTTATCTTTTTGAGTTTTAATTTCTTTTTGGGTTTTAATTTCTTTTTCCATTCTTTTTTGATATTAACACCTTTTTTTATTTTTTCATTGAGTTTATCTACTTTTCTAATATCACGAATTATTTTTTCTTTTTCAGTTAATTGTTTATAATTTTCCCTTATTATTTGTTTTTTCTGGTTTAATATTTTTTTTAATTCAGCCAAAGATAAACTCTTGTAATCTTTATCAGTTATAAGCGATTTTCAGCCATTTCCCTTTATAATCTTATTATACTAATTTCTTTAAGCCATTTTATTTTTCTGATTCAATTTTAGATAACAGCTTTTACCAGAAAATAGTTGATAACAGTGCTTAATCGAGTAATGACGTAAATGATCAGAAAAAAAAGTCAATGATAGAAAATAACCAGAAAAAAGTACAAGACGTAAGACACAAATTAATTGAACAATGACAGAAGATAAACTCAGAAATTAATTTTAAAAAGTACAAAAATTTGTTAGTCTAAATTCCGTCATTGAAATTTTGGGTGGGATGACGGAAATAATTGAATAATGACAGGGAAAAAGTACCAAGTGAGTGAGTACCATGGCATCATTATATAACTACTTTCCGAACAGATATTTTCCAAAAATTGTCTTTGGGTGCCCCTGATATAAGGCTATCAAGTCGATATAAGATTAAGTTCACTCTTAGATGGACTGTTTGCAAATTATTTTTCACTAAAATCACTTAGCCTTTCCCTTAAAAGTCACCTGAATGTGCTCTTAAGTTAACTGATTTGTGGAATACAAGTTTATTGCTTGATTTAAATTATAATTAGCTCT